ATGGCATAATTTATTTATCCATTCACCTGTGGTGAACACTTGTATTGTTCTCAGGGTTTATCATGAGCAAAGTTGGTATGAGCATTCGTGTACAAGACTTCAGGAACATATTTTTGTTTCTGTTGGATAAATACTTAATGGCATAGAATAGAGATTCCACAAAAATATTTTTGACAAAGATGCTGAGATTAAGTTTTTTTTTTTTTGATGGGTTAAATGTTTATTAAACCAAGCTTTAAATTATACATCCACTTACAGTCTATAAACAAATACAGTACACATGAAAGTAAATGGGCAGCAAATTAGAACCAGTGGAAAAACTAAAGTTCCCTTTGCACACTGGCACCTCACCAGAACACCCTCCGCAGGCCAACAGCACAGGGCTGTGCTGGAGTTAAGGGTGAGATGAAAGAACCAGAGAGTGAGTTCCACTCCATCCTGAGGGTGGGTGTCAAGACAGGCATCTGTTCCACACCAGGCAGGGTGGACCACAGCAAGGCCACAGGGTAGTTTTTACATTCACAGATTGGCTGAAATAGTACAAATGAACTTCCTAATCTCAGTGTCTCCCTCCCTATCACCATCATTAGTAAAAAGTGTGAATTAAAATAAATGACGGACCACAGGTGGTTACAAAAATAGATGACTCATAGAGTAATAAATATCTATAAGTAGCAGAGAATAAACTTATATAAAATTTACCTTTTCCCATAATGTGCAGATTATCATAAGTATATTTGAGAGGTATGGTCAGCAACATTCAGAGTGGTAAGAAGGGATTTTTTTTTTTTTTTGTTACCAGGGAGTGTATCCAGAGGCACTTAACTACTGAGCCACATCCCCAGCCTTTTTTATACATTTTATTTAGAGACAGGGTCTTGCTAAGGGAAGGAGAGTCTTTTAACAAACAACACAGAAAACGAAATAAACCTTGATGTATAACTCTCATCAAAACATAAAAGTGAAGTTTTAAAGTATAAAACTTACAGATAGCAATATGGAAGAAAATCTTTAGTTTAGTTGAAGACATAGAAAATTACTTTATAAGAAAAAGTGGACAAATTTGACTTCATCAGCATTAAAAACTTATGCTCTTTGAAGAGCACAATWAAGGAAATGAAAGGGCCACGGACAAAAAGAGGAAAAGATACAAAGTTTACAAAAGAGATAAATATATGGTCAGTAAACATTTGAAAAGATGTTTCAAATCAGTCTTGAGGGAAGTGAAAATTAAAACATGAAATGCTGTTTGATGTTTACTGGAATGGCTAAAATTTCACAGGATTAACAAGGGTTGGCAGGGATGTAGATCAGTTGGAAAGCTCAGGCCTATTGGTAAAAGCACAAAATGATTCAACTTCTTTGGAGCAGTGTTTGACTTAGCGCCTCCCTTTTTTTCTGAGGCTGGCTCTGAACTCTTGATCCGCCTGCCTCAGCTTCCCGAGCTGCTGGGATCACAGATGTGTGCTACCATGCCTGGCGACATTTCTTATATTAATTAAAAAATTTTTTTTAGTTGTTGATAGACCTTTATTTTATTTGTTTAAATGTGGTGCTGAGAATCAAACCCAGTGCCTCACACATTCCAGGCAAGTGCTCTACCACTGAGCCCCAGCCCCAGCCCCAGCCCCAGCCCCAGCCCTCTTATATTACTTTTGATGGCCAGAATTTCTTTGTCGAGTTATAGGTCACTTCTGCTATGGCTTATTTCTTCACCCTTTAGTTTTATACCTCTTTAGAGAGAGTAGATTTTCTTGAGTACTGGGAATCACTATTTTTTCAGTGGGATTATATGAAGCTGTTATTTTGGTTCTTTTGTTATGTATGAGAAAACTACTGTGAAGGTAAGAGTTAAGTTTCACCATCATATTTACTTTGTCATTGGATATATGGGAGATAGTAGTTAAGGTCTAGGATGTTTGGAGCTAACCTATTTAAATGGGGTTAAAGCAGGAATTATTTATGTATTTAAAAAATGGTTCCATGTATTAGTAATAGCTATAACAATTGTAATTATACTCAGATTCTAAGCAAGTGTAGATTAAATGTGAATATAGCAGGGGAAATATATATGGTTCCCAAATAACTACAGAAGGATGTAGCAAATAATTTTGCTTTTCCAGATGCTATTTTTTCTGATTCCTCTACTTAGGATTATTGGGAGATATCCAATGTCCTTAGGCTGTTTTTTGAATGGGATATCTTAAAAAGGTTCTCCACTGGGTTTCTCAAGGAGCCTTCATAATTGCAATTGTCAGTACTTGAAGTTACATTACTATTGTTTCTGTAGTAGCTCTGGCAAGTGTTTGACAAATATTTGTTCAGTGAAATTTTGGGAAATACAATCTGCCACACCTTTCTTCTGCTGTCTTCAGTTGAGGCTGTCCAATAGACTTTTCTTCTTAGGTATTAGACTTTTGAAGACTGCATCTTTTAGATTGTCTATATCTTTTTTTTTTTTTTTTAACTTTTCATCTTTTCACTCATTTTAATCATTTTCCTTTACATTCTTGTACGTATTTTGGAACTGGTTCTGTTGACTTTTTTTTTTTCCCCTCCTTGGTTATGGGTCATATTTTTCTGCTCTGCCTGTCTGGTAAATTTTAATTGGTTCTTGAATGTGAAGGGATTCAGATTGTTATTTTCTCTGAGGGTACTGAGATTCATTTTAACAGGCATTTAAATTAATGGTTGATTTGATATTGTTAGGCTTGGTTTTCTTTGTTAAGGTAGGCCTATTTCAGATTTATCTTTTGTACAGTCTTATGGTCCCTACTAATAAAGTGGGACTTCTGTGGTCTCAGCTGAATATCAGGGGTACTTAGGTCTTTCCTCTCTGGTTGGGCCAGAATTCCAGCTTCTTTTAGTATTGCACTGCCTCTGGTGTCTTCTCATTATAATTTCAGATTCTGCATATATGCAGCCCAGCGCTTTGCCAAAAACCAGAGGTGAAATCTATGCAAACTTGTTTTTCCTTTTTCCTGTACATTACCTACCACATCTTTGGCACCCTGCTTTACAGACTCTAGCTAGCTGTTTTACCAACTCAGATTTCTAATTCTCTAATCTCTGCCTTTTCACCTCAGCTAAACCTTTTATAATTTATCTGTAAGAATTGTAGTGTGAATGAAATATGTAACTTTTATTAGTGATAGTTTGAAGTACTGCTTGTACTATCATATAACATGGTTTTTTTCACATTCAAGTTCATGGACTCTTTTTTTCCTCCCCATCACACACACATTTTTATACTTCCTCTCCATTTTCCCTCCTTCTAATAGTTATATTGTAGTTTTGGTTATATTGAGCTTTTTATGTGGTTATTACTAGATAAATGGCATTCCTGGCTAGCAATATAGTATATTGTGACTAATATTTTTTCCTACATATTTAGTTTTCCCTGGAATTACAAAGGTCTCATTTTTTTCTTTTACTTGTTTAGTTTTCTATGTTCTTAATTTTAATTAATTCACAAATTCACCCCAATTCTGAGTACATTTGGTGTCCTGTCAGTTTTATCGTCTCAAGGATCTTTCTTATCAGCCCTAAACTGGATTAATTGCTCTCTAGACTTGCTATATGGAAGTCTTTGATGCCTCTTCACCATCATTCTGGGGATTCACCTGTCCTCTCCTGTGAGTTGGATTCTTCAGTTCCTGGAACCTGTCATCAGTTTTCATTGTTTTCTACTCTGGTTTTGACATATCTTTGTAACTTCCTGGGAAACTATAGGAAAGTAAAATTATTTTAGAGTTTGCTTATTTTAAGAAACTTTTATTTTATACTCATTTGATTTATAGACTCTGTCTTGGTGTAGAATTCTAGGCTGAAAATATTTTTCATGAAAATCAGAATGTTTTGCCTAATTTTTTTTTAAAGATATTAGATACAGTGGTATGTGTCTAATCCCAGTGACTCAGGAGGCTGAGGCAAGAGGATCTTGTTTGAGGCCAGCTTCAGCTACTTCGTGAGATCCTGTTTCAAAAAAAAAGGCCATGGATATGGTAAAGTGGTAAAGTGCCTCTGTGTTGAATCTCTTCTGTTGGCAGGAAAAAGGGGCACTGTCACTTTGATTCCACATTCTTTTATGCAGATGTTTCCGGCAGTGTTATAGGGTCTTCTTTTTGTCTCTTCAGCATTCAAAAATTTCAAAATTTTACTGGGTATTCATGTCCCTTTTTGTTTGAAAACTCACTTTTTAAATAAAGCTTTCTGTTTTCATTTGTCTTCTATATTTTTTTCTGATAGTTCTTCAGTATATATTCTTATAACTCTTCAATTACCTACCTCATAAGGTTGAGGATTAAACAAATTTACATACATAGAGTACTTTAAATAAGTGTCTGACATGTAGTAAAGACTTGTGGTACCTGTAATTGTTACTGTTTAGTTCCATAATTGTCTTGAGGGCATAGTCTTTGGTTTTGATTCTTTTACTTACTAGTTTTGAGATCTATCTCTTTCCTCTGTAAAATGTGAATAAGCTATCCTCTCAGAAGTTTGTGAGAGGTAAATAAGAGTATATATGTGAAAATGCTAACAATAACTTTTACAGAGTTAATAGTTGCTGCTTGAATCTTAATGTCAAGCTCTTTGTTTGAAAGAAAACTATGGCTGAATTTTAAGAGTACTAGATTTCTTGTACCTTGCAAATTTGTGTGAGCTAGGTGAACTTGAGTTAAATACTAATGCTGCCTTTTTCAATAAGTTATTTCTTACTGCTCAATCTTGTTTTGTTATTCCAAAAAGAGAAGATAAGGAAAATATTCTGTGAAAAGCTCTGGCTTTACTTCAGATTGTATAACTCTATGTAATGTAGTAATTATTTAAGAATGACATGATTATTTATTTGGGTTATTTATTTATTTTTACTTAAAGGTATTCGAGATTAGGAAAAATAGGATCTGTCTTTTGGTTCTTCTCAATAGTTTTTAATGTAATTTCAAATGTTAGCTCATTTTTGTTAATGGTGGCTTTTTGTTTGTTTGTTTTGTTTTAAGGTTTTTGGATTCAAAGCATAAAAACCATTACAAGATATACAATCTGTAAGTATGTTTTCTTATTTGTACGCTTGCAAATATCTTCTAAATAACTAATAAGTGAAAGTTATTTTTTTGTTAGAGTAAGGTAGAGTTAAAGATATATATATTTTACTAGAATTGTATTCCTAAAACAATTTGTTGAAGAAGACTGAGAACACTGTTAGATCGTTTAGAAAGTGTAGTGATGAGATAAAACAATGTTGGCACAGATTCATGTTACTTGATCTGCTTTAAATGACTTGGCATCTAGCCCACTTTTGAGCCCCTAACCCTGTGGTTATTTGAAGTGTAATCCATAGGAGAGCTTCTGTTAAGATGTCTTCCATGGAGGCATTCTCCAGAGTGGATATGATTTTGTTTATTCAGTCTCTTGATCAATTGATTGAAGAAGGTATTAAAGTATTTGGTTTGTAACATAAGATATGTTATCTAAAATTGTTGAATTAGATAGTTTCTATTGTCTTGGGCAGGGTTTTAAGGGTTGCCTACTTGATAGAGCTAGTTGACCTTATCTTTAATTTTCTGCTTTTTCTTTTGACTTTGGGAATAGAGACATGAAAGGAAAAAAAGAAGGGAAGGAAGGGAAAAAAATTCTTAAATGATTTTGTCCTTGAAGACTATTTTTTCTTCTCAAAGTACTAACCATTTTCTAATTTTTGAAAAATTGGAAAAACATTACATTTTAAAGACTGGTACCTGGCCTTTATTTTTTTTTCTATTTATAAATGATTACAATAGAAAAAAAATATATAAAATTATATACTTGGTCACAATTGTTTTTGTAGAGTTATTTATCAAATGTTATAACAAGATTCTCTTGTGCCTCCAGTGGACATTTAAATCTTTTAAAAGAAAGAAAGATTTTTTTATGCCTTGTTCTTCTATAATAATAAAACTCATAGGTACTGGGTGTGGAGTAGACACCAGTGTTGTTGTCTAATGAGTTTTCAGTGACTTCTTCAGATTCACAAAGGTGCAAACATTTAGTGCTTGCCACATGTTAGACATTATAAAACACATTGGGACATGGGTACAGAAAGGATAAGATACCAATTCAGTCCTGAGGTAGCTTGTAGTCTAATGTGAAAATTAGAGAAAGTATTATAGAAGATGTAATTCTTGAATACAAGAAGGCATTGAAGAGAACAGTAGAAATAGTAATTGTGTTCCATATGACAGTTTTCATAAAGGAAGGATATTTGAGTTGTAGTGAACAGAATCAGTAGGGACTGACTCTCAAGCCAAGGAAGAAGGAAAATGGCATAGCAGAGTGAATGGCAAGTAAGGAGATTGTTGGCATAATAGTGTTTGGAATGTGGCAGATCATTTATTTTTGTCAGATTGTGATGGGTGTATGTGTGCCTGGGGAGTTTCAGTGATAAAACATGCTTAAGTTTAGGTGAGCCCAGTTTACAAATGATCTGTGCATTTAGGGGTCATCTATTCTAGATTAACCTTTCTTATACTGCCTTGTTGTTCTTTTGTAGAAAAATAAAAACCACATAGCTTTGTGCTTTTTGAACATCTCTATTCAGAAGTTGAATTAACAACAACAAAAAAGAATTGTCAAAAGCTGAAATCCATTAAATAGATCTTGTCAGTCTTAGACTCTCAGAATTAGGGATTTGGAATCTTAAAAGGGAGGTCAAAAGACAAATTCTGCAATTGTCATAATTTTATTCTAGTTTAGCATATCTAAAGGGAAGGAAATTGTTTTCATTCCTGTATGTAGTGGCTTCCTGCTTTCTGGAACTTAGGATTTGGGCTTGTACTATTGATGTTGTGGGACACTTACTACATTATTATGGTTAAAATTGGCTTTTGGGGATAGCCTGGGAATGGGAATGCCTGATTTGTATTTCCAAACATTGGAATCCCAAGATAATGAAATAACTCTTTATTAGTCTAGAATAGCTTTTAATGCATATTAACTCCCCCTCCTCACATGGAATTGTGGACTTTCAGAGCTGGAAAGTACTGAAAGAAATCTTTTAGTGTAACCTTCTCATTTTACAAATGGGGAATATGAAACCTACAGAAGTTAAGAGAGTTAACATTCATAGTAGCAATCCATCCACTGTTGATGCCAGTGTTCCCTTTATTTTTTGTTTTAACCTTCCCCAATTTTGTTCTCTTAAAAAGTTTCTAGAGCTATCAGTCTGTAGTATGTTTCTGATGTTTCTTTCCAACCTTTACCTTCTTTYCACCCCTGCTTATTATATATCTGGTTCTGGGTAAGTGAGTCCAGCATCATTAACAGTTGTTTCTATTTTATTTTTTTAATTTTTAGAATAGTAATTACATGTGATATCTTTTTCTTTGGAAACATACAAATAGGAAGATCTTAAAATATTTACACTAGGTATACCCACATTTAATAATATGTTAAGTCTTTTATAGAAATTACAATTATGACATACATGGATGAAGAAGAATTCTTAATGTGAACTTTGTAATAATTAAATATTTATGTCTCTATAGTTTCTTCAGGCTTTCACTAAATTATTTTTAATACTAGGTAAAATTAGCCTTATAGAATTATCAAAATTTAAGTATACTGATGCTTGTTAAATTAATCAGTATATTTTAGGGTACAAGTACTTTTTATTTTTGTTTTTCCCTCTTTATAATCTATACACTGGTAATGATAGGGAAGGAAGGGAGATAGGAATAAAGTCATATATAGTTAACCTTAGTATTCACCAAATGCTAATTTTCAAAAGATTTATATATTTCATTGCATATTTTGCTGATACACTTAATCCTTTTGTAGTAAAACTTTAGCTAGTACTGATTTTTTTTTTTTTTTTTTTTTTTGGTGGAGGTGCTGGGGATTGAACCCGGGGCATTGTACATGTGAGGCAAATACCCTATCAACTGAGCTATATCCCTAGCCCCTCGTATTAATTTTTTTAAAAAATATTTTTTTAATTGTAGATGGACATAATACTTTTGTTTTATTTTTATGTGGTACTGGGGACCGAACCCAGTGCCTCACACTTGCTGGGCAAGTGCTCTACCACTGAGCCACAACCCTGGCCCTCCTCCTATGTAAGATAAATGTAGCTATGTTGTAGAGAGTAAAGAAGAGACTCACCTGCTTAACTAACTATATGGCAAGTATCACTTCTTTGGAAATTTTTCCTATTCTTATCCCTTTCTTCACTCTGCCTACTACCACTTAAAAAAAAAAAAAAACCCTCAGTACTTCTTCATTTTTCTTGTCTCATATAAGTAGTATAAAGGGTAATAATAAAAAATTATATCTTTTGAGTTTTAATTATAAAGATATTGAAATGATTAAATCCCAATTGTTTTCTAAGTATCTTTGATTTTAATATGTTGAGATTTATCACTAATATATCACAAAAAATATAAAATAAATTTTGTTGGGGGGGGTGTTGTGTGTGTGTGCATACATGTGTTTAGGGAGAGCAGAGTCTTCGTCTTTACCCTTCTAGCCCTTACCCTGAGCATTTGCACCACCACCAGGCCTAGCTTATACTTTCCAGACCCCCATACTTACCTGTAAAGATCATCATAATGTTTTTGTTTTTTATCATCACTGTTGGTTGGCTTTGTATTTTGTGACAAATATTGCTTGAGTAGGAAGGTGGCTTTGATTAAAATTTGAATAAACTTTGTAATTGCTTTCATATTTAAAACTTTTAATATTTTTTATTCTAAGTAGAAGTATGATGCAGTAATAGAAAATGTTTTGTAACCAGTGATACTGAGCTTATTCTGATTTTTCATTTATATATTGTGATTTGGGGCAAGCAAGGTTCTGCTTTCTCATAAAAATATGAGGCTAATATTAGTCATTATTACATGTTTGTGAGGATGAAAAAAAAACATAAAAATTCTTAGAAGGTTTGCACATCTCATAGCATTTAGTACTTGTTATTTCTCTTTCCCTCCATATATTCATCTTAGAGTACTATGCTGGGGATCAAACCTAGGGCTTCATGTGTGCTAGGCAAGTGCTGCACCATTGAGCTACAACCTTTAGCTCCCAAACCAAACATTTTGATATCCTGAAAAAAGTATGGGAAGTTTAGAGAACTGAATCTACATGAAACTGACATTTGTTTTCTTTTTTCTTATTATTTTTTAGTGTCAGTGGACCCTTCCTTCCCTCCTTCCCTCTCTCCACAGTGCTGAGAATCAAACCCAGTGCCTCACACATGCTAGGCAAGCACTCTGCCACTGAGCTACCACCCCAGCCCCTGACATTTATTTTCTTTTAAGCTGTTATGAAACTAGCTTCTTAGAGTTATTTTATAGCCTTATATCCCACTTCCTAAGCCTTTACAGAATTCCTTTTAAAGTACTGCACCATGGATTGTCCACTACTGATCAGTCTGCTAAAGAAAGTATAAAATTTAACTATTTTATTGGTCATTTCTCTTCTGTTTATCATGTTTTTCACATTTGTATGGAATTATTTAACAGGGATACATATGACATTACTAAATACATTTTCTTTTTAGCAAAACTCAGTATTCTAAATTACAATATACTAAAAAGAAAAAAAACTTTGTTTTGAGTGGTAATGTGAAAGTCGATTTATTATAAGTATGACCAGTTTTTTAACAGTTTTAATTTATAATTAGTTCAATTTTCTTGTGAATTTCAAACTTTAGAGGAATTATAAATGTTTTCCATATTTCTAAATGTATAATACAGGTTCACAGTAGCTTATTTAAAAATTTTGGAGCTAGTTATGTTTTAATATTCTGATTTTTTTGGTTTTCAGAAAGGCAATACAGAAGCATATACTCTTTAAGTATATTAATTAAGGACTACATACAATCTTAAAACCTCAAATCAGATTCTACAATTGAGATTGCCATAAATTAAAAGAAAATTTTAGCTGTTTTGTAAGTTTAGGATTTTGGAATTGTAGGTTAAGGAACAGTAGATCTTAATTTGTTCCAAAATATTGATTTTTATTTTAAATAGTTTTAAAAATCTGGTTTGGTGATAGTTGGATTTACTATGCTGCTGACCACACTGTCAATTATGAGTAAGCCAGTACATAATAACAAAGACATCACTACCATTAAAAAGACAAATATTTGTATGCTCTATGAATGCAATGTTAGAATTTTACTATCCTGTATTGATTTTACTTATTCTTTCRTTGCTTTCAGATATTAAAATTTATAATATGAGAGATTATTTAACTGAATTTTATTCCAGGCATAGGTAAATTCTGTCTCAGAGCCCACAGATATTTCCAGTTTATTTGTAGAACCCTTTAAACCATGAGAGAACTGGAGAGTTTGAGAAGTTTGCAGATGTAATCTCAGATAGGCATATTTGCCATTGATCCCTCCTGAAAATCTAGAGTGGGTTCACTAAAAATGACTTTGGTTTATCTAAAGGGAGAAAGGTCTGGTTTAAAAAAATTTAGTAAGCATCGTGTCCAAATAGATTAGCATCATTCAGTTTTCTTTTGTCCTTTTGCTTTTAATATTTTTAACATGTTTTCAAATAATAGTTTAAGAATTGTATGTGCTCATCTGGTGAGATAAAGACAACAATGAAATTATTTACTTGTTTACAGGTACTTGTGAAATAAAAAAGTACATTCTAATAACATGTAGAATTTCTGTAAATTTGAAAATTATAGATGCAATTTAATTTGTAGGGATGTATGATGAGGGCATCACAAATTTGATAAGCAAATGTATAAGCTCTGTTTGCATATACTTCACATCTTAAACCTTCACTTCCTTAATCATAAAATGGGGATAGTTTTAGTACCTACCTCACAGAATTCTTGGGATTAAATGAAAGAGTGAATATAAAATTCTCAGCACAATGCCTGATTCAAGAAACTTTTTGTTATTATGCCCAAGTACAAAAGGTAATTTATGCCACTTTAAATTTTTCTTTTAGATGTGCTGAAAGACATTATGACACCGCCAAATTTAACTGCAGAGGTATGTATAAATGTACTGTAGTATGTTGTATAACTTAAAACCAATAGACTATATTGTACTGTCATAACAATAATGAGTTATCATGATTGGATATAAATATTTATCTTAAGGATAATCTTAGACAACTTGGAAAAACTAATTTTGCTCTTGTACTTTAGAAAAAAAAGTATCATATAAACCTCTCTATTGCCTGGAAGACTATAAAGTGTAGAATAGACAGGAGAAATACTAGACTGTGTTTGTATCATAAGGAGGGGGTTTCCCTACTGTTGAAAGCTTTTGATGTCAGTATGCAGTTTCAGAGAGAAAGCAGAACTACTTTTCTGCTTTGAGGAATGACTTAACGATAGGAAGGATAAAATAACATGGATAAAGAGGAGCCATTTAGGTGAAAGCATGGAACTATTTTTTAAATTTTTTATTTGTTTCAATTAGTTATACATGACAGCCGAATTCATTGTACATGAATGGGCACTTGATCTCTGAGCCGCATCCTCAGGCCTTTTTATTATTTAGTTTGAGACAGGGTCTTCTTGCTAATTTCTCTGATTATGCACAATATAGAAGCACACCGTTCATGCAATCATACATGTACCTAGGGTAATGATGTCTGTCTCATTCCACCATCTTTCCTACCCCCAATCTCCCTCCCCTCCCCTTTCCTTCCCTTTCTTCCCTTCTCCTTTCCTTCCCTCTCCTTCCGTCCCTGCCCCTCTCCTGCCTCTCCTCCCCTTTCTTCCTCTTTCCTCCCTTCCCTGCCCGTCCCCTCCCCTCTCCTCCCTTTCTCTCCTCTCCCCTCCTCTTCTCTCCTCTCCCTTCTTTTCCCCTCCCTACCCTCTGCGCAATCCAAAGTTCCTCCACTCCCCCACCCCCCCATTATGCATTAGCATCCACATATCAGAGAGAACATTTGGACTTTGGTTTTTTGGGGATTGGTTTACTTCACTTAAGCATGATATTCTCCAACTCCATCCATTTACCTGCAAATGCCATAATTTTATTCTCTTTTAGTGCTGAGTAAAATTCCATTGTATGTGTATACCACAGTTTTTTTTTATCCACTCATCTATTGAAGGGTATCTAGGTTGGTTCCATAATTTAGCTGTTGTGAATTCAGCTGTTATGAACATTTAATTTTATTTATTTTTATAATGTGGTTCTGAGGATTGAACCCAGTGCCTTACATGTGCTAAGCAAGTGCTTTACCAATGAGCCACAATCACAGCCCCTAGTCCTTTGGGTATAGACAGACCAAGGAGTAAGATATCTGGGTCAAATGGTGGTTCCATGCCAAATTTTCTAAGGAATCTCCATACTGCTTCGGGAACTGTTTTTTTTAACTGAATTTTATTCCAGGCATAGGTAAATTCTGTCTCAGAGCCCACAGAAATTTCCACTTTATTTGTAGAATCTCTTAAACCATGAGAGAACTGGAGAGTTTGAGAAGCTTGCAGATGTAAGCCTCAGATAGGCATATTTGCCATTGATCCCTCCTGAAAATCTATAGTGGATTTTTAAATAGATGGTCTGAGAATTCTGAAGCATTAATTACCAAGAGTCAGTTTAATTTCACTAAAAATGGTTTTGTATTGTGTGTGTGTAGGAAGGTAGGTAGGTAGAGTTAGGTTTTTGCTTACTAGACAAAGCATGCCATTGGTTGAGGTTTCTTGTTTTCTTTCTCTCTCTCTCTCTCTCTCTCTCTCTCTCTCTCTCTCTCTCTTTTGGTACCAGGGATTGAACCCATGGGCACTTGATCTCTGAGCCACATCCTCAGGCCCTTTTATTCTTCAGTTTGAGACAGGGTCTTCTTCCTAAGTTGTTCAGGGCCTTACTAAGGTGCTGAGGCTGGCTTTGAACTTGTGATTCTCCTGGCTTAGCTTCCTGAGTCATTGGATTACAGGAGTGTACTACCATGTCTGGCAAGGCTTATCTCTAAAGAGATATTTAACAGATTTTCCTGAATGTTTTTGTGTGCCGTTTAGGAAATGAAGATGAAATAATGGTCTAGTTATGCAAATGACTACGTGAAAACTGTCCAACTAACTGTATGTAACAGTAGTCATTATCTATCAGAAGAGCTTTCCTGTCATACCAAAGGATTTAATTGATTTTAGTCTCTACTATGTTATGATGACTTGAAGATTCAAGACATAGTGTTCACATACTTAGATGACATAGAATAATTAGTACATTGGTGTCAGGATGTTTAAGGATCTTCTTAATAGATTGAAACCAATGCATATACTAAATGATAAAAATTTAATAGTGATATATCTAAAGTCCTGTTTCTAGGCAAATTTTAAAAAACCTCAACTCTAACTTAGGGAACAGAGAAGTCTTGGATTTTTAATAATTTATGTGAAAAAAACTGAAACTTCATTTTATAACTTTACTACAATTGTAGTCTTTTGTAAGTAATTTTTTTTTCAGTTTCTTTTGTAAATGCTTTTCAAGTCATGTATAGATAACACTAAGATTTGTAAAACCATCTCTCTCTCTTTTTCTTTTCCTTTGGCACTGGGGATTGAACCCAGAATCACATTACTACTGAGGCACATCCCTAGCCTTTTTATTTTTTATTTTTGAGACAGAGTCTCACTAAATAGCTTAGGGCCTTGCTAAGTTGCTGAGGTGGGCTTCGAACTTGCCACCCTTCTGCTTCAGTTTCATTTATTTATTTATTTTTATTTATATGACAGTGGAATGCATTATAATTCTTATTACACATATATAGAGCACGTTTTTTTCCTACAGCATTTTTATTTTATGAAGTTAAAATACAGTCCTTTCCTCAGTTGATTCTATTGGTAATCTGTACTTTCTTTGAAATATTTTTTGTCATGATGCAGTATTATAAATATTGTTATTCATTTTTTTTGTTAGAAAATGCATTGAGAGACCCAGGTKACATTTCATTTTGGATTCAGGTATACCTCTGGTGTATTGTGACCTCTGCTCCCAGTCTTACAGCAATTTCCTCCTTCATGAAGTGAGAAACATAATGCTTGGGTACTTTTAGAAGTTAGCAATAGAGTATTCTCTCTTCAAAAATTAGAAAGTTAATGAGCAATAAGGAATTTGTATTTAGTTTTTCTTTCAAACACTTAAGTTTATAATACAACATTTCTAAAGTTTACCTACTTTTAATTAAAAATTCAGGAGAGATTTTTTTCTTACTCTGAGGTTATCTTTTTACCACAGTTGCACAGTATCCTTTTGAAGACCATAACCCACCACAGCTAGAACTTATCAAACCCTTTTGTGAAGATCTTGACCAATGGCTAAGTGAAGATGACAATCATGTTGCAGCAATTCACTGTAAAGCTGGAAAGGGACGGACTGGTGTAATGATTTGTGCATATTTATTACATCGGGGCAAATTTTTAAAGGCACAAGAGGCCCTAGATTTCTATGGGGAAGTAAGGACCAGAGACAAAAAGGTAAGTTTTATATTCTCTTCTCCCTTTCTTCTTCTAGATCCAAGAATTTATTGCAAGACAGACTTTTTTCTTTTTCTTTTTTTTTCCCCTTCACCTTTCTTGAGATATAATGTGATATTTTGATACATGTATGTWTTGTGAAATGATTACTACAATTAGTCTACTCATCATATCACCTCATATAATTATTGTTTTCTCCCTATTGTGGGGAGAGCATTTGAGATATACTTTTGTAGCGATTTCTTTTCTTTCTTTCTTTCTTTCTTTCTTTCTTTCTTTCTTTCTTTCTTTCTTTCTTTTCTTTTCTTTTCTTTTCTTTTCTTTTCTTTTCTTTTCTTTCTTTTCTTTCTTTTCTTTCTTTCTTTTCTTTCTTTGTCTTTTTTTTGGTACTGGGGATTGAACCCAGGGGCACCTAACCACTGAGCCATATCTCTAGCCATGTGGCCCCACCACCCACATATATTTTATTTTGAGACAGGGTCTTGTTGAGTTGCTTGAACTCATGATCCCCTTTACTTCAGCCTCCCGAGCTGCTAGGATTTCTCTTAGCAATTTTCAAGTTTGTAGTACATTATTATTAACTGTAGTCATCATGCTGTTTTTTTAGTCTCCAGATCTTATTTATCTAGCCTAACCGAAACTTTGTATAGTTTGAGTAATATCCCCCTATTCCCATCTACTCCCATCCTCTAGAAAAGAGATTTTAAAAAGATAGTTGTTAATGCCTAATTTCTTTCAAAAATTTTAATCAAGTACTGCCCCAACTTCTGTATGAACAGGTATCTAATTCATTTAATTTTTCAGATCATGCTGCTGTTTTTATATCATGATAGCAAATCTTACCCATTAACTTTATTACATATTGGATCTTACAAAAATCCTTATAAAATAGCATTTTAAAAACAGCATATTGCTGGCCATGGTGGTACATGCCTACAATCACAAACTTGGGAGGCTGTGGCAGGGGCATCACAAATTTGAGTCCAGCCTTAGCAATTTAGCAAGGCCCTAAGGAACTTTCCTTATCTCACAAGAAAAAATAAAATAGGCTGGAAGTGTAGCTCAGTGGTGAAGCATCCCTGGGTTAAATCCCCAGTATACAAAAAACAGACCAATCAAAAACACCCCTGCATATCAATCAAAAGTAAGCTTACTGTTGCTGAAGCTTGCTTGAGAATAAAATGTTTTGGGATAATTACCTGAATATGATTATTACCTAATAAAGTRTGATCATTTATAATAAAATTCATTCTTTCATGTGAATAATTATAAAATGGATTAATTAATTGTAATTAATTACAATTAATCAGATTCTTCAGTCTTTTAGAAAACTAAAGACCTTAAAAATCAGCAATAAATTTAACTTAGTGCATTTGAGGGCAAAAAGCAAACTCTTGAAAGGTTTTTACAATGATTTTTCAAAGGGTCAATTTATTTGAATGGTAAGTATAATAAAACATATTACCTTTTTAATATCCTTTGTATTAAAAAGAGTTTTTGTACGTTTCTTTAAGTAGAACAAAACCCAAACCTCTCCAGATGGAGAAAACTCATTTAGGGAGAAAGACATTAATCAAAAATTTGTTGTAGTTTTAATAATTTTATAACTAGGCAGATTCTTCTCCAGGATAAGTCAATTTCTTCCTCATTCATCTTCAAAACAAATAGAGGTTATCATATTCATCATTTTAAGCTGAGTAGTTGTATCAGTTTCTTTTTCACCTCTTGTTTTTTAACCATTTGTTTGTCTTTGTGACTTTCTGAGTTATATGTAAGGACGTCAAAGTACCATTTATTGGAAATAGTTCACAAAATTGGGTATTAAAAGTCGGGTAAAAAAATTTTGTTTTGGTAAAGTATAAAAGTTGTGTGATGAGCAGAACGCTAGATTTAGTAAGCTAGGAGCTTAAAAAAAACCTGTTCATGTKTTATAGCTTTAAAAAATCTGATGAAAGCCAGACATGACGAACACCTGTAATTCCAGCGGCTTGGGAGGCTGAGGAAGGAAGATCTTGAATTCATAGCCAGCCTCATTTTAGCAACTCAATGAGACACTATCTCTCAATAAAATACAAAAAATGCTGGGGATGTAACTCAGTTGTTAAGTGCCCCTGAATTTAATCCCTGGTACCAAATCTGATGAAAGTTTTAAGTGTTTTCCCATTAAACATAGGCATGGATACATAAAAAAAATTTACTTATGGTTTTTAATTGCACTGAACCTTATTTAACAACATAGATCATAAAAGAAACCTTCAATTTATTTGTGAGTTTTTTTCCGTACAAATATCAGTGGCCACAGTATATGAGAATGATGAATAAATCAAAGTGGTATAAATTAACCAAAATTAAACTTTAGTTTTCTTAGTAGTAAATTTTAAGGAATGGGCTAATATTATTTAACTTTTTAAAGTAAAAAGTAAAAACTGTGCCATTTTGTTTGACTTGTGCAACTTACCTGCCATCTTTGATATCCATTCAATTTCGACTTTGCTTTTGGTGAAAACAAGTGCTGAAAAGCCTATCTCACAAATAAAAGAACCAATGAAAGTAAGCTTGTGTCAAGAAATAAGAGTATGTCAAGACTCTTAGATAAATTCATGCTGCATCATTTTCCTTGCCTTCAAGTTAATGAAATAATTTTTTGGCAGTATCTGCATCATTAGTCCTGTGTTATGAAGGAAAGAATTATGATTTCACATTTCAGTTTTAAAGTTGAAGAGTTAAACTCCTTAAAAGAGTTTGAGAACGTCTTGATTTAAAGTCTTGGCTTTTATGAATTTGGCAACTTTTACAACAGATTTTTTCATGACAGTTCTTGCACAGGCTATGATTCAAAGCTTGGCACTTACAAAGCAGTAGAATACTTTCACAACAACAGATAAGGTTTCTTTCAGGATTAATGTGAGTCTTGCCACTCTGAAGCACATGGATGAATAAAGCAGTGAGTGACGATGGCATGGAGAGCTTCTGTCTTCGCTAGTGCAGCAAAAGCAGATGTGCTGCCCGACATTGAGGTGTACTGTTTTTTACGGAATACTGAGGTTTCTTCTTGGCAAAGAAACTTCGCCATTTTGAAAATGTTATCAATGTTTCCCAAAATTTTCAAAAATAACTCTTAAGATAGGCATCATTCATTGATTATGTGACCATGTATGTATTTGATGAAAACTACTAGCTGGGTGCACTAAGAAGTCATATGCTGAAGGGAGGTGGAATTTCCAGTCATTTCATGACCCGTTTTATAGTCTCAGAAAAAAAAAGTCAGTGATAGAGGTTTTGACATCTCATTGTGATACAAATGAATATCATGTCGTATGCATTTTATTGGGTGAATCAGTCAGCCTGTAGTAGATTGAATTGTGTCTCCCTTCATGAAATAAAAATATGTCCACCTGGAAAAAAATTATAGAGGTTTTGAAACATATTTTTCTGCTGCAAGCTACAAACGTGCTTGACTCTTTCTGAGATGTTTGCTTTCATCATGTTCAACTGTGTGGCTTTTTGTTAGTTTGACATTAACCAGTAGCCTGGTAGGTTGCTTTATTCAAGATTTTGAGTTGGGTCAAACAAGAGTTTTGTAATGGTCTAGGCTTTTCTAAATTGTGCTCTCAAATGTACTGTCGTCTTCTCCCTGTTCCCTTCCTCTTAAGCACACCTTCCCTTCCATATGTGCATATATACTCTGTCTGATAATAAGTGCTTCTTCTGAATAGTTGGCTATAGGCTGCTGATGGTGATAATTTGCCATGTAAGAAGCATTTGGGATAATCTGTCTCATCATGTTCAAGATAAAGGTAAAATCTAAGAATGCTCAAACTTTCTCTGTGTCTATCCAGTTCAAGTTAAATCCAAGAGAAGTTTTCATAATCAAAAAGTGAAGACATATTTAATTTGTCAGATCATATTTAGTCATCACAATCTGGTAACATTGTCAGTTCTGTTTCTCTCTAGAGGTGAGGAAGGGGTGTTTAATGAAATGGCAAGAAGCCCCATGGAATATTGTGAGATAGGGCCAGAGTAAAAAAGATTGCTAGAGAAGTATTTATGAAAATAAAACATAAATCCTACAGTGTCATGTGATAAAAAGTAGTAATACTTCATTAGTAGAACTACTTTCTCTTGGCATCTCCCCCAAGTGAATGTGATGGGCTAGTAGGAAGTAGAAAATGTAGATCTATGTGGACTGCCAGGAATGTATTTGATAAAATTGTCAAGTTTATTTGTTACAAGGTATTAAAGCACAGTTAGGTGGTTTTAGCTAAGTTGATCACTTTAGCTAAGTTGATCACTTTTAGTGTCAGAATAAAACGAATCATTGAGATTTACTGTTCTTAGCTCATGCTTAGTTCACATACCTAGACTATGTTTTGGATGAATTATTCACAGGTCCTGAAGAAATGTATTCCTACCTTTTATCCCTGTGTGTATATTAAAAGGCAAAAAATAAATTTGTGAGCAGATGATGTTGACTAAATTGTGTTTTACTTAATGTTTGCATTTACATTTTAGTTTGAAACAGCATTAGAAAACTAGGAATAATGGATAAAATTCTTAAAGATTATTGGGTTCCCCACCCCCTCTAAAGTTTCTTATTTTATAGATGATAAAATGGGTCCAGAAAGGTAAAATATTGTCATCAGTATTATCTATATGTCAATGACTGCATTGAGAGTAAAAGTTGAGTCCCTTGCTGCATTGTTAAATTTCTTTCTACATTATCAAGTTCACAAATATTTGAACTGAAAAAGAATTTTGAGATTCTTCAGAATAATTTATATAGACTCCTGAAAGTTTAGATAATACCGATGAAATAAGTCTATTTTGAAGGTTCCTTGTTTTATATTCTTATTTTTTAAATGTTATTTATTTATTTGTTTGTTTATCTATTTATTTATTTAGGGGAGCATACTGGGGACAGAAGTCAGGGGCACTCGGCCACTGAACTACATCTCCAGTCCTATTTTGTATTTTATTTAGAGACAGGGTCTCATAGAGTT